CGAGTAATACTTGGGCGTGACATTTTCGAACACCAGTGCTGTGCCCGAGATTATCTCGGGCATGACAGTTAAAAGGTTAACATCACATGTATATTCAAAAATACACCCAAAACAAGCTAATTCTGCTGTAGGTTAAAACTGGGGGATAAACAGAAGGCATCAAAAAATTTCATTAAAATAAATTGGCAAGATTTCTCTTTAAAATTATTCTGACTTTGAAATAAAAAATTAATAAATAAAAATGGAAACCTGCTCCTTTTAGAAATAGTAAACGGTCATAGTTAGTGCCTACACCAAAATAGCGTATCAAACTTTATATTGTTTAACTTTAAAAAATGTCGGGCATTTATTTAATACAATGTGTGGAATAGTATAACTACCCTTTCTTTTACAAAACCATCCATTCATAGCAGTGGTTCTCAACCATTTTTTGCTTCATGCACCCCTTATTGCTAGACTATCATTCCCTAATCCTTTCTGAAAACTTAAAAATATATATTTATTTCTTAATGTGTTTTATAAATTAAGCATGGAAAAGTAAATAAAATGTTGACAAACATCAAAATTCAAATAACTCAAATAAATTATTTCTATAAACTCATACAGTAAACTAAATATTTAACTGTTAAATATATAGTTTTGAACATGGAACATTTCATTAGCATTGAACCCATGCTTCATAAAAATCTTAATACAAAATGAACAGGTTACTCATTTTAACCAATTTTTTATTTTATCCAACTAACTAAATACAGTATCATCAGAAAAGCATAATATTTACATGGTTACTTCAAAGACTCTAGTCTGATTAAGCATTTCATCACTGATACTTTATTCCTATTACAGAAGATAATTAAATGTTTCTATTTATCTAATCTTTGTTTACATACAGAGTTTGAGATCCAAAGCAATCAAGACTTTTCAGACATTTTCAAATTTTATATCACCAGTTTAAATTCAGCAAAATAACATGTTGAATTTAGGAAATTAAAAATATTAAATAATGAAGGATTTATAATTGTAAGAAAAACGTTTATAAAGAAAGATGGTATTTATTTTTGTTAAATTTTTCCTTTAATGTAAGTTGTTTAAGATTTTAGGATTTTTTGTGCCACCTTTTTTTAATTTTATAGACATTATTTAATTCTATTTGCTCAAGTCCAGCAATAGCTATGTTGAAAAATTGCTTTATAATATTTTGAGAAAATGAAAATATGAATATCTAAATTGATTACAGAATCATGTTATTTTAAACACATTAAATACAAACACTGATTACTTCAAGATTTTATATATAAATTATAAATAAAAAATCAGACAAATGCCTCAGAGTCATCAAAAAGTAAACATCTAAAATTCAAGAAAGTGGTCAATGTAAACAAAGAACTTGTCTTCAAAGTACTTTCAAAGAACAAAGATGTTAAGTCAGACTCGTCATCTTGTCATCACAGAAAAACTTTTTCAATAAAATTATCATCTGCAAAAAGAATTTCCTGGACATTTTAAAGAAAAAATGTTAAAAATACCAATATTATCCCCCAATATATTTTACAACTCAATTTTAATGGTTAGAAACAAAAATTCTGAAATTTAATAAATTCTGCTGACAGCCATGTTTCCCAAACGCTACTACTCAGCTTTTTGTACTAGGTGCAACACAAAAAGCAAAATGAGACTAAGTGTGTAGCTTGAAAAAAAGAGTGGAGTTGGTAGCAAATGTTTTCGTGACATCATCCCACACACCTCCTCTATCCATGCAGCCAATTTCGACTTAACCGATCACACCAATTGGGAATCCTGAGTCGAGTGAACATGTGCAACTGCATTCTGCAGGAAAAAATGCCCAACATAAAAAACAGGAAAACTCAGATAAGCAGCACTTGGCGCAATTTTTTTCGCCATCTTGAATTGCAAAAAATCACCATATCCTCAAAGATGAATTTTTTTACACCAACAGAGAAATGGCATCCAATAGCACCTTCTGAAAATTCCCTCTTCAGGCCAATACCGAGGTGAAAAGCTCTGCTGGGCGAAAACCGCGTAAGTCAAAGTGTAGTGTTTGCATTAAGATGGTAAACCATACACATAGAACAGATTGTAAACGATAAGTTATGATCAAGTAAATCTATGTACCTTTTATCGTCTTATATTTTATATTATGATTATATATAACTCCAGCATTATTAACTTATAGAATTCTCTTTTTTAAGTCTGACCATTACTCTAAACAAATATTGGAAATAATGGTTATATATGTTTGAAAACATGTTCTTTATATAAATCCATTAATGATCAAGAAAATGCAATATATATCACACAGTTAATGATGAAAATTAAAAAAATAAAATGTGCATGTATTTCCATAATAATATTGCATCCTCAAAATGTATTCCAGGCTATTCAATCTTCTAGACAGGTTTATATTTTACATTCTGGATTCCTTGATGCACATAATTTTGATTAATAAGGTTATTTTTATTCTTTCTTATTGTTTAAGTGTGAAAATAGTTCTCACGTAGGTTCCCAGAGAAATGTAATCCTGAAATGCATAACTGCAAGAAAACAAGATTTGCAACAAGCGCTTCTATGGCTTTTCATGATGTTATGCAATTGTTTAAATTTCAGAAGACCAATCAAATAGAACAGGATAATAAGGTTATTTGAATTTGTATTTATTCCATGAAAAGTTAAATCCTAAAGTATTATTTTTGTGCAATTTGAACATTGTGGTTTCGAATTGGTTGCTCCAAAAGCAATTTTATGTGGCCGGAGAATGTATTTCAGTTATGCATTTGTTGCAAATACAGTGATGCAAAGATTTCTATGTTTTACTTATTTGAAGTTTCAGTTTATTTTACATTCATTACTTTTAAACAAGAACAATATGTCATAAAAATCTACAAATATAAATCTTAGTCAACGATTTGAATATACAAATTTAATTAACTTTTATTTGTTTTCTCAAGAAAAAAGAAATGCTATGTTTTGGCTAATGGTTTAGATTTTTTACTTATATACCCAACTTTTAATCCACAAAATCCTCTATATAAGGAAATCAGTGAAATATGCTTGAAATAAAAAAACAGCAGAATAATGTTTAATATTTTATACTAATTTACTAGCATTTCAAAGTCTGATTATCATTTTATTGCATTTTAATAAATATATTTGAATATAAATTCAATTATGAGGCGTTAAAAAACTGCTTTTATGATACAGGGTGTCTTTCAGCGGCTGAAGGTAAAACTTGCACACCGATAGTTTGTCTCAAAGTCAAGCCATGGCTGACAGACTTCTCTTTCCTTAAGCAAATAGCCCTGGTAGTGCTTTTGATATTTTAAATAGTCCTAATCGTATTTATATATGGACACTAGCAGCTTCGCTGCCAGATGAAGGCTGCCCATATATAAACTACTCAAAACTTTTCAATATCCTAAAAACAGTGAAATGAGCAATAAATAACATAAAAGAATACAAAAAATTCTGAAAAGCAAAGTATAATTAATGATATTTTATATTTTCAAGAGAAAAAATTACAATGAAATAAGCTATATCCCTTAATACAAAATTAATTATCCTAATAAAAAAATTAACCAACTTTCCGACTGTTTGGTACCTATCGCCTAACGTGATTTCAGTAACTTCGAACTGGCGAACGTGATTTCAGTAACTTCACCAACTGTCTGTCATCTGAGTATCCCCTAAAAACCGCACAGTGAATCAACATCAAGTTTCTTGTGAAACTTAAGAAATAAGCCATGGAAACATTTCAAATGTTAACTGAGGCTTATAGAGATGAAACTGTCTCATGCACATGTATTAATGGCATAAGCGATTTTCAGGGGAAAGTGACAAATCATGCATGTAAGAAATCAAAATTCAAGGCAATGTTTATTGTCTACTTCGACATTAATGCAATTGTAATGATTGAGTGGATTCCCAGTGGTCAGACTCCACACTACTATAATGAAGTACTAAAAGGTTTCGTGAAAAAATTAGTAAATAAAGACATTTCTGGAGTGATGGATAGCTGTTGCACCAAGACAATGAATGTACCCACTCACATGGACCTATCTGTCAAGCAATTTCTAACCAGCAGAAACATTACTGTGAAGGGGCATCCTCCTCATTCCCCTGATTTGGCTCTATGCCACTTTTTACTTCCTTGTACGAAGTAAAAAGGAAGTATTGTAATCGCGAAAAGTTTCAGGCAGCATATTTCAACGAAAATATCCATTTTGACTGCTATCGAATGCAATTTAACGATGTTTTTGCATCATATCTGTACATAAGGACAGAATAAAACACTCTTTTCCCTAAAAAAAAAATATAGATAAGCAGTTTACGATTCTGCACTTTCTCCCAATTTCACACCTAATCTTCGTCATGATTAAGCATTTTTGTTCCATAAAAGTTCTAGTATAAGTGTAATTCGGCTAGCAGATTGTTGGAAAAAATGTTGAGTTAAAAAAACATGCCTTTACTTCGTGAAAATAAAATGGCGTCCAAAACTAGCAGATTGCAGTAGCAGGGTTGTTTGCCAAATTTTCGCCAAGTTAACTGAGACAAATGCTTCAGTGATCAAAAACATACTACTCACAAATAAATATGTGTGTAAATGAAACTGAAAAAGCTTAAGAACATGCCACACATACATTTCTCAAAACCTAGGAATTTTAGTACAAAAGCCCAGAAATACATGTTTTTTTTTTTTTGTCAAAATGCAACATGTAATAAAAAATACACTTCTATTGAGAAAGATATTTTTCTTTCCAGTAACATATTTAATATATTGTGTGTTGTTCCTTCAAATGAAATATTTTAAACCCTGACAAGGCTTATTCATAATTCTCGTTTATTTAAACATTCTGCTGATTTTTACTTTAAAAAAAGCCTATTTTTATGATTAGTTAAGACATTTCTTGATTCCAATGGTAAAGAGTTGAATGCATTTAGAGAACACAATACCAGATGATTTAATTTTTGCATAAATATCTTACCTTGTATATAATAACCATCTCTTAGGCCACCAAATTTCTCTTGTCCAGCAGTGTCCCAAACATTAAATCTGATAGGACCACGATTTGTGTGAAAAACAAGAGGATGCACCTCAACTCCTAAGGTGGCTGAAATTTCAAATTGCATGATTTAATATTTAAATACATTTTAATACTTATTAATTACAATCAATATAAAAATTATAATTTCCTAGTATTTAGACAGATTTATTCAAGTACACAGGTGAATTATATACTGTATACATTGCACAAGCACTCAATTTTAAGGAAAACTGGTCTTCATTCCAATTGAACAGAAAAATGAAAAAAAGATACTTTTTAATCAAAGCATATATTCTACTTAATCATCATTAGTCGTGAAACTAATTAATATTTTGTGTTCAAATTTTGCCAAATTTAAAACTAGTTAACTGCTTTAACAAGTACACGAAAATATTTGGTAATTGATTTCATTAACCAACATTCAAAATGAAAAATAATCAAGTTACCTTTAACTTGTATATTATCTCAACCACCCTGATGCAGTTAAGCTTTTTCATAACAGAAAAATTTCAAATACAAAAAATTACCCCTCAAAAATACATTAGCCCTCTGGTTGCTCATCCTGCAATTTCCATGGCCAACTCAAATGTAGCAAAATTTGCTCATACCGCAATTTTCGCGGGCATGTGCTTTTCTTCCTTTATTCTTTTTTCTTTATTTAACCAGTGAAACAAATTATATACAGTATTAGACATTTAATTTAGGTTTTGATCGACAAATGTCGCTGGCCATCCAATAAATTGCAGCATTTGAAGATAGTTGGTATTTACTGCTTTTAACTTCACTTTGTTTGCAGCCTTTTTCTAATTAGAAATGGCTGCTAGAAAATTCACTGATGGATGAAAGATGCAAATGGAAATAACATCCGCAATGAAACACAACTATGGTGTTTATTTTTTCAAATGCACGAGAGATTAACAATATTAAAGCTGTTACAACCACTACGACCTCAGAGATGGGAAAAATACCCATGCTTTTCACTGTGAAGTTGACAGTTCACACCTGTGACTGTGAAGTTGGACTTTGCCTCAAGCCCTGTTTCGAATTCTATCATACTAAACTACATTTCGAAGGTACTTTGTTCTTAGTGCAAAATATAATTTTAAGCTTTATACATTGTATTTTTTATATTATAAAATAAATATGTATTAACAGTAATTCAATTGTATTTTATTTTAAAAAAATTTGTGATAACATCCGAAATTGTATTTTTTGACAGTTTAGTTTCTCAAAAATCTATATAAAAAGTTTTCCTAGAAAGAAAAAATGCACATTTCAATTCTCCAATATATATAATTTAAAATATGCCAATACATAATTTTTTATATAAGAAACTCGGCAATCCACCGTGAATTCAATATTCCATATATACATGAGTATATGGCAACCCTGGCCCCCAAATTTTATCAAAGCATACCAAGGGTTTCTAATCACACAATACCCATGCTTAACTATAATTTCAAAGTCAAGAGAAAATAGAAAGAGGCCTCTAGCTGTTCTAAGGCATCTAAAATAATCAACTGTGATATATATTTAAAAAAATATACCATATGCAATTGTATTATGTCTCTGTATGAATTAAAATATCTGCATCATATGTACTCTTATTTCTGTATATTTGTTATAACTTACTTTTCAATTGTATTTTTTTATGTGCATGTAATTTACTTATAGCTGTCATATTGTTGTCATAACGTATTTTAAAATTATATCTTTGAGTGTCACACTTATGGACTCCTGAACTCTCCGGCAATACTAGTGTTTACTTTTTTGTACGGAATACTCTGCACTGCCTCACATCTTCGTCTTAAGTCGTTCAGCTTGTCGTAGTTGCTTATCTGTTTCTCGGTCACACTTTATTTTGTACCATCAACTTTTTTGTTCAACATTGTTTGAATCATTTAATAATTTAGATATGCCAAAATCACTTTAGAAACCACATGCATTAGAAAATTGTCCACAGTTTGACAAGGGTAGCGCTTCGCACGCTGGAACCTTTCTACAAATGCATATTTGCCTAAACCGAAGAGAGCTGACGAGACAGGTCTGAGGCTGTGCTCTGCCTGTTTCTTTTGGCAGTAACTGCCAAATACCGGTCCTCATTCGGTGTTGTAACTCTGGGGCGACTTGTGCTGTAACGTCTACTCACATCCATAAATCTTGGAATTGTTTCCAAAGCCTGGAGAGGACACTCTGGACAATTCCAAGTTCGTCTGATACTTCCAGTTTGGTATGCCCACATTTTGGACGGCCGATAATTCTACCACATAAAAAATCATCCAAATGCGTCCATTGTGTCATAAGTATTCAGTTATTGCACTGAAATGCTTATAAAGAGCCTGCGAAGTTTTACTTCTTTGCCTGTATTTCTTATATATCACTCTCTTACACTCTCGTCATTGTGACGTACCATCGGTATCATCTGGTTATTTTTTTGCTTTTCTGGTTATTTCGATTTTGATTTTTTTGCTAAATTTAGTTTGCAGGAAAATTAAAAAAAAAAAAAAAGCTTTTCTTTTGTGTACTGAGTACACAGGTTACTCCTTTTTTAGTTTATTTTTAAATTTCACTTTCTGGCACTCCTATTTGTGCATTTAAATCTTGAAATAATAAAATAACCATGTTTCAGAAACAATAAGTAGCTATTGTGCTTTCAATCAAAATCTTTATTAATGAATAAATAGACAATAATATCACAAATATCAAACCAATATGAGTAAAATGTATTAATAAAGAATAAAGATTACTACATTACAAAGCAATACTGTAATTTCAGTGCAAAAATTTTAAATAAGAAATATAAAGATGCAAAGTCTTAAGTAGTATATTTATTGAACATTAAAAAACTAATATCAGCATAATTAAATAACTAATACAGTCTGAAAACTATGATTATATGACTGTCAGTTAAGCAGCGAATAAAATTTAGCAATATTAAATTAAATTGGGCTGTAATTTGCTTTCACAAAATTAAATGAACACAAAACCGAGTTTGACTTTTGACTTTCTTTTGAACTGTAGATCTAAAACACGTGCCAACGGCCATTCAAAAAATACAGACAGACGTTAAAATTCAATAAAAATACCCCACCCGTAGGCGAAAAAATAAAACGTGACTTTTAAGTCATGCAGTTCGAATTTAGTGATGGAGAAACTAAATTAAAAAGTTCTTCCAGGCGCAGAAAGTCCAAAGCTAAGGGTGAGGGATCGAACCCATGATCTCGACGTACAGAGAAAATCTAGTTAGCTCTTTACCACTAGGCTACAATCGCTCGTGTAGAAGCTGTCGGAAAAGCTATGTACTTCGTCACCTGATTAACTCTCATTTTCGGCGAAGTCAATTGAGTCTGCATTCTCGACTGGACATTTTGCTTTTTGAATTTTTTCAATAAGTGCGACCACAGATTCAAGTAGTTTCTGAATATTTTCATCTAGTACGCATGACATGGCATCATTAATAGTTTTTGGAACTTTTCTTGGGGGAGTTAAAATCATTTTCACCCGGAATTAGAAAATATTTGAATATATAAAGTAATGGGAAAGACAAATCTTATCAAAATAAAAGAATCCCTTAATTTTTTATTTTTAAAATTTACATTAATCGTGTCCCACATTTTCTCTACAGAAATCTATTAGTTGAAAAATTCGAGTTTCGCTCCAACGAAATGCAGCCATGTTTATTATTCCAAATGTAGAAAAGCACATGATCACTCAAAGCAATCTTATTGGCTAGAGACCCCATTTTATCATAAGCTAGTGAGCAGCGAACACCAATTTTATCATAAGCTAGTGAGCAGCGAACACCAGTTCTGAAATCTCGGCAGAGAACATGATTGATTCTTGGCGCATGCGCAGATCCTTAAAATTGTTGCTCTACGAGAAAGTCGGCCGAGAAAATCGCTACGTGTAGACGGGCCTTAAGAACCATGAGGTTTCCAACCTCTAAAATAATTTGTTTCCGTAGGCCGCAAAAATGTGCATGTGCATTTTAAATAAATAAATAATGCTTTTATTTTTAGTTATTGTCATCTAAAATTATGAGAATAAATCAATTTTGATGGCGTAAAATTTTAACAAGATAATGTTAATGCTTTTCTAACAATAACCTTTCAGAGGATGGCAGGTGTGACATAAATAGATGATTAAATTGAAATCAAAAATATTATTGATTATCTTAAGATGACAGAATAGTTTGATGCATCACCATGGTCATCAAAATTAACAAACCACCACTGCTGGTGTAAGGAATATATTGTTTTCTGTGTTAACTGGCATTTAAGACATTTTTTTTTCGTTTATCACGTTTAACTGGTTAATTTCAGTACATTAATACTAATTTATATTTTTAAATTAATATATCACATTTAACCGGTTTGTTTTACATCTACATGCTTATTATCTGTGAATTTTACTACCACATGCTTAATATATTGTTTTGTCTGCTAACTTGAATTTACATGCATTAAAAATCACGTTAACAAAATATCTTGTTTACGGCTCGGCTCATTGCCGATGAACCGCGAGCTTGGCGAGTAAAAATGCAATGGCGCCAACGGGTTCTCTGCAGATGAAAACCCAAAAATACATACAAAAGGATAAAATACATGAAGACCACTTACCAACATATTTTTTTTCGAATTCTCCAGTTAAATGCCTCTTCACAAATGTAGTTTTTCCTGTACCACCATCTCCCACAAGCACACACTGGAATAAAAAATGTGTTCAATTTGTTAACTCCACATTTTTAAACATAGATTTATTAACGTAAGATCATTTGAAAACTAATGGAATATGTATGACAAACAGGAAAAAAAAACACTAGAATAAAATTACAAAGTGCATTAAAGTAATAACAGAGTTCTGTCTTTTTCATTTTTATATCTAAAGGATCTTGTTTTTTATTTTCATTGGCTTTGCCTTAGCCTTTTCAATATTATTCAAAAATCTTTCTCAAAATCTAATTCATCAATGGAAAAGGATGATAAAGACTCAATTGCAATGTCTGCTGTTACTGTCCTGATTCAAATTCTCCAATTGTTCTGAGAATAATTTCATTCTTAAGGAAACTTCATATATGGCTTTCTTTGCCTTTAATTTGTTCATCATCCAAGGAAATTCGGTGTTGGATTTCCATATATTGAAAACAGCAGGATCTCATTATCTAGCAAACTAGTTTCTCTTTTCTTCATTGAAAAAATATTTCCTTCTGCAATAAACCCCCTATTTCAGAAATAACAAACTTCCCATTCTCATCTCTTGTCAATTCTTCAGATTGCAGCTTTTTTGCGGCTATGTATGGTATAGAAAGAAGTTTCCAATTCTGCAAGATCATTCCAGTCCTGTTAGTAAAACATTAAGATTATCTACATCTCCTAAACAAGTTAATTCTAAAAACCTCTTTATCATAAAATATGTACTTCCTTATTGCACTGCTCGATCAATACTTGCTCATTTTCCTGCTCGCTTCCTAAGAATGGCATCAATTTTAGGTCTTGCTGCTGTTGCTACTTACCTTAATTTACCAGTGAGATTTGTAACTAAATGAATCAGTTTAATCACTAATGGCAAATATCACATCCATCCTCCTCCCTTATATTTATTTATTAATAGTTCAATAAAATAGAAAATAACTATTTATTAATATATACAGTCCATAAATAAAAATAATAACTCAGCTTGTCACTAACTTTTTTCAATTCAATTCATTTTAATTTTATTTCACATTCAAACTGTCCAACAAAAACTGGAGTTTGTTTTTAAAGACTAGCTCCGACTCCTTTTACCTCCAAATCTACCCGACTCCATAGCCCCGGCCAAAAACTTAAATATTAAACTGGTCTCATCTTTTACAATATGCATGACTTACCCATGTTAAATACACCTTATAATAAATTGTTTCAGACAAATACCAATAAGTACATGTTCCATACCAGGCATAAATACCAACGTACCATACAAGTTTATCACCATCTAATATGGTAATTTGATTTCAGTACCTAGTCATCAAATTTTGGGTAAAATCCTAATATGGTACGGACTTAGTGTGATTTTGAAAACTGTCGTCGACACTACGACTCATTTACTGCTCATCATAAACACCTCGTTTACTGATCATGTCACCAAATCCCAAGTGTACCATATACTAGGATTAAACCGCCACAGATCAACAAAGATTCTGATGCTGACAATTAAGCATGTGGCAAAGGAAACAACTATTATGACTAATGAAAGGCAGAAATATTAATTCCGTAGTTACATGCCTAGTGGTCTAGATTGAGTCAAATTCATTATGACCCCATCCTTACTTATATTTTTCTTTTTAGAGAATATTTTCTTTAATGTGTGTATTACCTTTATTTCTGGCAGGTGTACATCTTTTGGAGAAACAAAGAATCACTGACTGCCTGACATGTTTTTAAGAATTGCACAAACTTCATATCCATTTACACATCAACCTATTTTCACTTAACAAAATTAGAGAATTGCACAATCCCTTGACTTTGTCCATGTACACATTGATCTATTTTCACTTAAGTCAAAAGATATTGACAAAAAATCCAGTTCTTACTCTTGTAAAAAGCACCAAACAAAACATGTGAAATAAGTGAGCAATTATGCACTTTAGCTCACTTTTAATTCAATATTATGTCCGATACTGATAAACTGACCCACATTGCATGAGTTTTCACAATTTTTGCCTTGAACTAGATTCTTATTTGCACTACATTCATTTAAGAGATAAAAAAAAAATTATACCACTATAACTGAGAAGACAAATGAAGGTTATATTCTATATGTAATTAAAAATTGAATTTTATTAGAAGTATCATTTTTATTATTATATCTACCTTTGAAGATTGACATTTGATTAATTGTTGTGATATGAAAACTACCAGGTAACAAAGGTTTTCTTCATGGAATGCTTCTTACATGAAATAAACTTGTTTTCAGGCTTTATATATCATTATCGTTACCATTTTATAGGGAATATATGTATATATATATATATAAATTCCAAGTAGCAAGTCTTCATAAAAATATTACATGAATGTATCCAAATTTCTCTGAAACAAGGATTTTTATGGACTATTGACTTTCAAATATTTATTAGCAACAAAGTAAGAAATTCTTTGAGCAGCGAAATTAGTTTTCCCTAAAAGCTAATTCGTGGAATAATTTGCATTTGCAAAACCTGTAAATTTTATTGTTAATTTTTCTATACAATGCAGTTTTTCTGTACCACTTGCTGAACTACAAACATGTTTCCGCCAATTACAGTTCCTAAATTTCCGTTGTATTGCCCTGGATAAAAGCATGACAGACAATAGATTCTTCAGTTTGTCTCAACAAAAAGGCTTACCTTATAAGCTTTTCTTTTAATTTTGATAGAAATTCAACAGAAATTGAAATCGTTACTAAAAAATTATACTCGTTTTTAATGTCAGAGTTTAAATTTAGCGAATTCGTTATTACGCCTTTTTCATTCTTACACGGGATAGAGTCAGAAACAAAAGTGGTCTAAATTACGGAATAAATCATATTCACATAACTACGCATTTCTAATGTGTAAATAAGAGAACGAAAGTGAATACACTTACTTTAAACGTTGGTATATTGTCTCCTTGGTCTGCTTGCATGCTGGAAAAAAGAAAAAAATTAATAGTAGCAAGCAAGACGAAAATGGATTTAAGATTAAATGTAAAAGTACATTATATACATGACAACGTTTTAATTACTTTCACAATACTGGATTTTCAAATATCTAATATGCATGTACATGAATGTACCGCAAATACACGTTAGGCTTACACCGGCATCTGACAATGATACCGGCAAATTCGAAATTTATATTTCACCACATTCAAATATTAAAATAACATTTCTTTTACAATTCTTAGAAGTTCTAGTATAAAAAATCATTAATAACCTTGAAATCTAAGAATATTCGAAAAGGATGATAAAAGGTTGAGTACCTGTTCGTAGATCGTTATATCTTCACCGTATCAGATATACGCAGTGCTGACTTCCCTCACTTAATCAAAAACCGTTGCCATCTCTAGACGCTTTAAGAAGGTAAATGATAAGTAACGGAATTTAATAACTGAGGGAAAAAAAAATGTGTTACACATTTTAAGAACTTCCTCTACTTTTTATTTTTCATTTTTTATTTTATATTTATTCCTTCCCGTTTTCTTTTAGATCCAATTTTCATTTATTTCTTTTATTTTTGCATGCGTTAGATTATTTCTGTTTTACAAATTTTTTCATTCGTTCACTCATATTAAGAATTTTTTATTCGACTTTTAAGTTTTTTTGCGTGTTTATGTTTCATACTATTTTTTTTAATCTGGGTATATGTTTTCAAAATGTGCGCCTGTTGTTTGCAATTCTGAATTAAAAAATTGGGGGTTATTGCTGTTCTAAGATTATTTTTAGCTTTTAAATTTTAAACTTGAATGTGTGGTTTTATCGGTTCAGAAACAGGCTGTTTTATTTATTTACCTCTTGCATTTCACTAATCCCCTGGAGGGAATCCCTATAGAGGGAAAGATGTAAATTTCATGTTCCTTTTTCGTTTTAGTACATTTTGACTTCTCCCTCCCTTTCTTGCAGTTTGTAACTCTGCTTCCATTTTTTTTTATTTTTGGTGTGATTTATTACGGAGTGATATGTCATCATATCATTTTGAAAAGTATTATTAAAACGCTAAAAAGAACGAACTTCTTAAAAAAAATTTATTAACGAGAAAATAGGATAGGAACAAACACCAGGTGACCATATTTAAAATGAAATTCCAATGAATGTTTATCTTTCGAACAGTTTTTTGTCATGCCATTTTACGAAAATTAAAACATATAAAAATTAAAGATAAAGAGGAAACTTAGAGGACGCTACACACTCCCTTCCCAGTGAAAATGATTAGGAGACGATTACGATCGTTGAAAATTGAGTGGAAAACCTGACGGTCCTTTCACTGCGCGTGGTATTATTGTCATTGACCTGCGGCGACATTGTTCTCCGAGGTTCGCACTGTGTGTGCTGATCTGGAAAATCCATGATGGATTTTTAGAGGCTGCTCATCATCGTTTTTTATGGCAAAACGTTGTTTCAGTCTATCAATTGAAATTCGATTAATTTCAATGTCAAAATACTTTTGTGCTCGGTGTTTGACAACAAAAAGCCCAAGATAAACTGGTTGCAAAGATTAAGGGGCCGCGTTATTGTAGAGGAAAACATGTAGAGAACCAAAGGTAAAGCGTATGCCCAAGATTTCCTTTGTTCTAAATGATATTTCACGCTTGCCTTTATAATCCTGTTTTGTCGCTTAATCATTCCGTTCCGACTGTAGATGGTATGCTGTTGTTCTGGATATTTGAAAACCGAAGTATTTGCTCAAAGATGAGAAGAGCTGACTTTCAAACTGACGTCCTTGATCAGACGTTTTACGTTGTGGAATTCCAAAACGAGAAATCCAGGTTAAGATCCCCCACTTTGCAACTGTTTCTGCTGATTTATCCCTTATAGGAAGGGCTTCAACCCATCATAAAAACGATAAATTATCGTTAGTAAGTATCTGAGACCTTGATATGAAGGGTCCAACAGTAGCAATGTGAACGTGTTGAAAACGTTCAGGTGGAACCTTGAAGTCCATAAGAGCTGACTTTGTATGTCTTCGAACCTTAGATCTTTGGCATTCCATGCATTCCCTACACCATAACTGACAGTCTTTATTGATAGTTGGTTATATGAATCTTTTAGTGATTAATTTTCTTGTGCTTCTAATCCATGTATGAGATAGGGTATGAATAGAAGAAAATATCTGTCGGCAAAAGTTTGAGTGGATATATGGGCGGTTACTGCTTTTGAAGACATCACAATAAATCATTTTGTCGGTGCCTGGAATGAGAATTTGAACCATTCTCAGCCTTGGGTTGTTTTTAAAAAATTTTAACTCTTCATCATCTTGAAATCTGCAATAGTTTCCTAATCGATTGCAGATGGTGTGAAGATGGTATTAGGTCTCGAGAGAGCAGTTACAACAACGTTTTCTTCTCCCTTAAAGAAGCGAATATTTGTTGAAAATTGAGCAATATAAGTCAATTGTCTTGTTTGTTCAGAAGCGAAGATCAGAGTTTTGTGGTCCGTAGAAATGTTGAAAGGACTTCCCTTTAATATGTACAGTCGGCCACAAAAGTATTCGAATACCGGTACCCATTCAGAAAATTTACTTTTCCGTTGAGAAACAAAATTGTCTCCAGAGTCTATCTTGGTTCGATAGACAAAAAAAAAAAAAAAAAAAAAAAAAAGGATGGCTCATGTCCAAAATTGGCTAGGTGCATGAAACAAAATACAACATGACCTATCTGGGTGAGATGGGAAACAAAATGGCTGCTCACGTGATCCATTATTGCGCTCATAGAAAACGCAAAGTGTCGCTGCAACTCGTCTCGGTTCGCGAAGAGTGAAAACCCAAAATGGTCTGTAGTGTCTATCTTTGTTGGATGAGAAAACAAAAGGATGGCTCATGTCCAGTTTATTTAGGTGTGGGAAAACATATAACGTGACCTATCTGGATGAGATGTCTCCAGCGATCCAGTATAGACTTTTTCCCCATCTGCAATAGGTGACATCTATAAACAATTCCATTGAAATCTCCTCGAAATATAAGAAACAGCTAGCTCGTGAAATTGTAAAGTATTCCCAAAGAATTCCACTTCTTGAAGAAGGAAAAACATCCTAGCTGCAGATGAGGTAGAGAGAGAGAAAAAGCATGTTGCACCATGGAGAGCCCGCACGGTTCTGAACAGAAAACGTGGAATGCTTTTATAGAAAAGAGTTGAAAGTGAAAGTAAAAGCCGATTGGAAATTTTTCACTTGGTTGCCGACTGGGAAAAAATTTTCAGAGCTCAGAAAAAAAAATTCTGAGATGTAAAAAAAAAAAAAAAAAAAAAAAAACTTTTTGTTAATTTTTATCATGTCTTCTAGACATGATAAAAATTAACCCTACCCCCCTTTTGTGTGGGAATGTTGTCTCACTGTTTCTAAAAATAGACCATGACTCATTCTAGGAATTATATGTTTTAAAAAGGATGAGTTTAAAGTTTATAAGATAAGATAAGTTTTTAAAAAGGATATGTTTTAAAAAGTCTTTGGGTTTCTCCATTCCAAAGTAAACAAAGTGAAGACATCAAATTAATAGAAAAAAAAGGAAGAGTTTTTTTTTTTTTTTTTTTTAATAGCTCTGGAAATATTTTTCCAATTCAACAGCCAAGAAATATTTCCAGCCAATACAATTTCATTTTTACTTTCACTTTCAATTCATTTCTTATATCTATAAAAACATTTCATGTTTCTGTTCAGATCAGTGTGGGTTGTTCAAGATGCAACATCTCTACTCCATCCCACAACCACGAAAAAAAGATGTTCTTTCATGAGGAATTTTTTTGGCTTTCGAAAACAATGATGACATGATGATTGTAATACATTTCTGTTCTCATGTCCCATGATTGAACTCAGAATTATTTCCAGAACTCTGAGAATTTTTCCTAGTCAGCTCGATGAACCAAATTTCGTATATTTATTTTTTTAAGCCACTCGAGTTTCGACTTCCCATCCGTGTGTGCTGTGCATTCAACCTGGAGACACACATTCCCTGAGCTCTAAGAAAATGTTTCCCAGCCCACTCAATCGCTGAAATGGATTAAAAAAAATTCTTTCATACATTTTTAAAGCTCAAGCGTGTTAGCTGTCATGGAAAGAACCTTTTTTTCCCTGAGCTCTAAGAAAATGTTTCCCAGCCCACTCAATCGCTGAAATGGATTAAAAATAAATTCGTTCCTATATTTTTAAAGGTCAAGCATGTTAGCTCTCATGAAAAGGGCCTTTTTTTTCCCAGCCCACTCAATAGCTGAAATGAATTAAAAAGAAATTCTTTCATACATTTTTAAACCTCAAGAGTGTTAGTTCTCATGGAAAGAGCCTTTTTTCCCCTGAGCTCTAAGAAAATGTTTCCCAGCAGACTCAATCGCTGAAATGGATTAAAAACAAATTCTTTCATACATTTTTAAAGCTCAAGCGTGTTAGCTGTCATGGAAAGGGCCTTTTTTTTCCCCAGCCCACTCAATCGCTGAAATGGATTAAAAATAACTTCTTTTATACATTTTTAAAGCTCAAGCGTGTTAGCTGTCATAGAAACTGAAATTTATGTCATGGTTTGTGTCTCTCACACGTCGTCAACGGTATGGTTTGAGGTGAAAATTGAAAACCCGGTATGAAAAATCTCTTTAAGTTCACTTTAGAAGAAGCTGTGGGATAGAGAGATTTCGTCATGGAAAAATGTCTTTCAATGTCTTTCAATGTCAGTCATGGGAAAATGTCTTTCAATGTCCGTCATGGAAAAATGTCTTTCAATATCATGACATCTCCTTTCAAATAGGATTGAAGGATTTTTCTTAAACTATGTTGAAATCTTGATCCATCCAAATTACAGATGGGAAATTCTGATCCATGGATGGATCATCCAATTTCGCTAGAACCTGATAAACGGTTGCTGATGAAATCCAAACGAAAACCCTAGCTTTTCAAACAGGAAACATTTTCCCCTAAACGTATTAATGATTTCTATTCTGTGAGACATTAAAAAGTGGAAAGAAACTTGTGTTCACAGAAGCTCTTTCTAGAAGAGTGGTCCTAGGTCCAGATGAGATAGAGAAAGAGAAAAAGCATGCTGCACCTTGGATAGCCCGCACGGTTCTGAATAGAAAACGTGGAATACTTTTATAGAAAAGCGATGAAAGTGAAAGTAAAAGCCAAATCGTCTTGGCTGTAGAATTTTCACTTGGTTGCCGACTGGGAAAAATTTTTCAAAGCTCAGAAAAAAAAATTTGAGATGTAAAAAAAAAAAAAAAAAAAAAAAAAAAAAAAATCTTTTTGTTAATTTTTATCATGTCTTCTAGACATGATAAAAATTAACCCTACCCCCCTTTTGTGTGGGAATGTTGTCTCCCTGTTTCTAAAAATAGACCATGACTCATTCTAGGAATTATATGTTTTAGAAAGGATGAGTCATAGTCTTTGGGTTTCT